AGAGAGAGAGAGAGAGAGAGAGAGAGAGAGAGAGAGGGCTGGAACGTTGTACAGTCCACCAACCAGCCATAGGCGTGCAGCGCCATCACAACACCGCTCTCCTCCTTCATCATCTTCTTCCATAGATCGTAACCTTGGGATGAGACGAGATACGGACTTGCAAGAGCCAACGCCCGCCCCCTGATTTTCGTCCCAGACTTCTTCTTTCCCGCCTTTGCATTCATAGAGGTCGCCCTTGGCCTCGGTGTTGACTCAGACTGTCCACCACTTACAAGAGCCAACGCCCGCCCCCTGATTTTCGTCCCAGACTTCTTCTTTCCCGCCTTTGCATTCATCGAGGTCGCCGGTGCCCTCGTCGTTGACTCAGACTGTCCACCACTGACATCCTTTCGTTTGTCAGAAGAGGGAGCCGCCCCTGCATCTCGAAAAGCAGTGGAAGATGTGGCAGTTGTGGACTACTTGGCAGCAGACGCCCTCTTGGCAGCAGATACCGTGACAGCAGCTGATGAGGCAGCAGACCATATCGTAGCAGCGAATGGCTTGGTAGCAAATCTATTGGCAGCAGATGACGTGGCATAAGATGACATGGCATAAGATGACGTGGGAGCAGATGACGTAGCAGCAAATGGCATAGTAGCAAATGGCTTGGTAGCAAATGGAATGGCAGCAGACGATGTGGCATACGATGACGTAGCAGAAGATGATGTGTCAGCAGATGACATAGCAGCAAATGGCTTGGCTGCAACGGTACCGGTAGGGGCATCTCGAAAATTAGGCACCAGTACCGGTAGGGGCGTAACGAACAGATTTGAGGCCCAAACGACACCCGGGTCTTATGGAAAATTTGAACCCTGCTCAGAGGGGCGCGACAGGGTGGCGCGACGCGAAATAACGTTCCAGACAAATTTTCCCTTTTTTATTTTATTTTTTTGTTGTTGGATACAGATTTTCACCACCCTGGGTTTTGGGCCTCGCCACACCCCACAAGTGCATCTTCCTGCAGGTACTGGCCAGATGAATGCCTTACTAACCGTGCAACGGATGCATCTCGCCCCTTTCTGCGAAGACGTACTCTTTCGTTTTTTCTTTTTTCTTTTTTTTTAACAGTGGTGTGGCAGGGCTCAATCTCTCTCTCTCACACACATACACACACACACACACACACACCCGCGCGTAGCCGTTCTCGCCGCATTCACGCCCGCGCACTCCCATACAAGTCGAACTCGGATTCGACTGCGCAACGTGCTGCGAAGCAAGGACGAGCAACGGGCTATGAATTCACCGAGCAGAATCGTCGGTGGGGTAAAAAAACGAGCCAATCGCACTCGGCAGTGTCCAATACGTCATATGAACAATTGATGGCGCTTCCACCCGCTCTATGTATCATTTGCATTGCTGATAAAGTAGGAGACAGACGATCCGTAAGCTCTCACCAGCCGGTGGACCGATTGATCAAAACCGCCTTTTCCATCTAGTATCACTCGTGACCGCACATTGTTTACCCTCCTATCCATCTCAACATAAAACCGACCCTCATACCATTACACGGATAAGGGAGAAAGCAGAGGAAAACGGACTTAGCGAAACGGCCGACCCCCCCAACCGGGACGATCAATCACTCTTCGCAACAATTCACAAACATGGTAAAACCCGGAGCAAACACGCTCAGCCTGACGAAGCTAGAGTTTCTACTGGAGCACACAACGCAGCTTGAATATTTTCCTGTCTCTCTCTCTCTCTCTCTCTCTCTCTCTCTCTCTCTCTCTCTCTCTCTCTCTCTCTCTCTCTCTCTCTCTCTCTCTCTCTCTCTCTCT